TTTTGAGCGTTCAGCTTTTTAATCTCCTAAGAAATTAATTTCCGTTCGCGGAATATATCAGTGTTTTTTAAGGTCTATAGGCGTAGACCGAAATTTTTAGTGTATATTTGGGTTGAAACCGGCCAACCACTGCGAAATATCCACTTCCTGTAGACAGACAGACAGACAGGCAGACTTTAGTAGTATAAATTGATGTTGTAAATTACCATACTAACAGGAGATTGAAAAGCTGAAAACACTTATTCTAAAACGGATGTGTCTACCAGAAATTACACAGCGAATACTGGGGGGGACACACTGATGAGCCGAAACCCCTCGCATATGTGCTCTGTAGTGGTGCAAGATGGACGAAGCACGCATGTCTGGACTTTGAGCTAGTACCTGTAGTGACTGACTCCACGCGGACATTCATGTGAATGCTCACTGCTGTCGGCCTCTGCGATAGCCAATCACAGATGCCATCAACTCTGCGAGAAGGCGGCCACCAATAGCACGTGCGCACTCGTAGGCTGACCTCAAACCGTCTGACTAATCACCTTCAAGACTGACTCACAAAGGGCTTCTGACTGCAATGACTGCCTATGCTCTGACATTCTGGATGCCGCCCCGCTAGGGAACGGACTGCAATCGTCCGAGAGTCAATTTCCTCCTATCTATTCTTCACACCTTCTGTACAGAATAAACTCTTCCTAACACTACGGCCTCCCACTTCTTCTGCTCTACCCACAAGGAGCCGCGCCTGTAGTGAAGAGGGTATTCTCTATTAACCGAAGCCATTGCGATATACGTGTGCTGCTAGTAACGGTAAATACTTAGGTAAGGAATTTCTTGACACAAAAACTGCGCTCAAAACAAAACGGAATAAATTACCCCACGAATGAGGTTGAAGAGGTGGTCGAGTTGGGACTGATTGAAGCAATTTGCGCCGACATCGGCAAGCAGTTGAAGGATATTGGTCACCGCGGCAGCGCTCTGGCCTTCCTGGCATTTCCACAGCACAGTAATGTCCTCCAGCGTGATCCGCTCCCGAAGGCACCGCAGGAGCTCGCAAATTTTACTCATGTACGTTTCATTGTCTAGATTGACTGGGAGGAGGAGACGGGAAATACTGGATGAGAAGGCGGACACACATACATGGTGTTAAATATATCGGCTAGTTTCAGAGCAAATTTACCTCATTAGTTAGGCCGCGTTCTCGACTTACCTCTACGCTCCGCCTTGCCCCAAATTCTCCTCCCATGGTTTTGATCACACATGTGGACTGTCTGTCTTTTTGCAGTCACAAGTGTTGAGCAGGAGGTTGGGGGGGCTGAATAAGCGTGAACCAGCTGCTAATACGGTCCTTCCC